AACTTCGCGGCCGCGCCCGGCGCCACCTACACGACGCGCGGCAGCAAGCCGGCCATGCTGAAGGTGTACGCGGATTTCGGGCCTACTGTCCAGAAGATGCTCAACATGGTGCCCGAGGGTGAGGTGTGCGAATGGAAGCTGCGCTCCCACGCGCCCCTCGACACCTGGGTCCTCGGCGCCGTCGCCCTCGTCGGCGACGCCTGCCACCCGACGCTGCCACACTTGAGCCAGGGCGCGGCCATGGCCATCGAGGACGCCGCCGTACTTGCCGAGGTCGTGAGCCGTACGCCAGGCAGTGGTTCCGACCGCGTCGCTCTGTCCAAGGCGATCAAGGTGTACGAGCTGCTGCGCAAGGACCGGACAACCTTGCTGGTAGACCTGGCGGCATCATCGGCGCGCACGCTGCACCTGGGTGAGGGCAAGGCGAAGGAGGAGCGCGACAAGGCCTTCCTCAACGCCAAAAAGAGGGGCACGCCTATCCCCGACAAGTGGGCGAGCCCCGAGGTCCAGCACATGATCTACTCGTACGACTGCGTCAAGGACACCACGGAGAAGTTCGACGAGTTATACGCGACGCTCGCCGACGGCGCGGTCGCAAATGGCTACACCAACGGCAATCCTGCAACCAACGGACACGCGAGCGGAAAAGCGACGGATGTAGCTGCCGAGGTGGCCGCCGAAGTTGCCGCGTGAAGGAGGAGATAGCGATCTATAAGTTGACTACCTAGGTAAGTATGTATCAAGACACAGTAACCACGGAGGGATGTAGCAGTGTGGATTTTGATGAAAATATTTTGAACTATTTGTCAATTGGCTGCCTACTCAGAAGCAGCAGAATATCAATATAATTTAGGTATAAAGGAACCTATCCCATGAGCCGACCCGAAACGCCTGACCATAATATATGCAAACCGCACAGAGTAACGAATGTACACCAGTGATAAGCGTCCCCCCTTTTCCAACGCCTGCCGTCGCAATGCTCTTTCTTCGGGCTTGCTCTTCGGTTGAGTGGTATAAATATACCAAGGTGTGATGTCACCTTGTTGCCCCTCTCTTTCTCTGTCGTAGGCGATGGCTAGCCTTCTCATCAGCCCAGCAACTGTGCAGTCGCAAGCAAATAACCCGCTCGCGGAACTCCAAGCTCGCATGCTCACACTCCAACCGAAATTCTTTAAAACAAAAAGTCCAAACAGCAGCAACACGCCAGCGCGCCCAGGAGCGCGCCCAGACACCCATCCGCGGAGCTGCCCTGGTTCTGGTGCTGGTAGTAGCCCTGCGGCGGGCGGCCCTGCTGGTAGTACGCGCCTTGCTGCGGCGGGTAGGCTGGGTAGGCTCCGCCGGGATACGGCCCTTGGGGAGGAGGCCCTTGCTGCTGCTGGTAGTACCCCATGTTCGGGTTCGGCTGGTAGTAGCCCTGCTGCTGGTTGCCGTAGTACTGGCTCTGCGGCGGGTAGCCGCCCTGGTAGGCGGGCTGCGGGTGCTGCGGGGGCTCGCCGTAGGCCGGCGGGGGCGCGTCGGGTTTGTTCGCCATTGGTTTTTTTTTGATCGCGAGGCGCTCGATATGTAGGCTGGATGGTTGGTTGGTTTGTATTGTCTATATTTTTTATTTGTTTATTGATTTGCGACCCGGGTCGATGTTGCGTAGGACGCTAGAATTCCAGAGGTAGGAATGGGATAGTTGTAGATCGGTAAATATGTAGGTGAGACAGAATCGCACGTGGAAGAGCCGGAGATAAATAATACAAATACACTTCGGATCGTCGGCTGAAACTGGGCTAGAGTTGTGGCGAAGCAAAAGCTTGGGAACGCGCGGATATGTTGAAAAGGGTATGTGTCTTTGTGTATTTCGACGTTTGTCGAAACTTGGCGAAGGGAGGCCTCGGCGGTAGGAAATGGAATTTTTTGGCTGTTGAGGAATTTGCGAAATTAGGACTTGATAGAAATACTCAATACTCAAGAGAAGAGAGAAGAAGCAAAATAAAGAAAGTAACGCTAATCAAATACTCGGTGTCGCAAATAATACATTTGTACAACAAAAGCTCAGACAAACCGCGTCGCAAATGTGCAGCAATACGATACGCCACAGCTACCCATGGATCCGTACGTCAGGGCCCCGCACATGCCGTCAGGTTCATGTGCTTATGGCTGTGCAACTAGACTACGCCACGTCTCCCGGGAGGAGGGGGGGG